GATAGGTTTTACGAAGGGGGGTGGGGCGGTGGAGGTACGGCGTTTTCTCCGATCTGGAGTTGAAGTGGTACCAGAGTGCCGAAGACACCTGGTTTTGCGTAAGTATTTGGATGAAGGCGGAGAATGCCGACTGTACGTCGATAGTGAGAACCGGAGGGCTCACTTGATTTTCACTCCAGCCCCTCCTTCGGGTTTCGATGCCAAGATGGGTATCGAGAGCGTTTTGCTGAAGCTGAAGGCGTAGCTCAACAGCAGCCTGTTCCAACTCAGTGATGACCCCGCCCTCGAGAGCCTTGTTGGAGGCTCCGGGGGCGTTGACTTCACCGAGGGCCAGGTTGTTGTCATCGAGGTTCTTGGACTGAGCACGAGTGGTTCTTCCCATTTTGGTAGGTGTTTTGATCTGAAGGGGAGGGTTTCTTACTTGATTGTTCGACCTCTCAACGAGAGCACCAAATGATGGATAGTGTACCCGGGGGGTAGCTTATCCGAGGGGTTACTGCAGGGAGTAATTTAGAGAGAAGTCTGAGCGAAAAAGTAAGAGAGATAAATAGTTCAAATGTGTATTTGAGTTGTATTGAGCGTGGTTTACAATGGGGGAAGGAGTGCTATTTATAGTAGCAATAAATGCTAGATGGGAACACGTGTCAATATTCTGGTGGTCGAGGGGTCACCTCAATCGGGGTGGCGCTGGCACTCGCATGTGGCCGCATTAAATGCGGTGGTTGGATGCGACGTTTGTACTTGGTACGGTGATCCAGCGCATGTGGACGGGAGATTCTGACGAGGAGGATGCCTTCGGCTGTAGATGACAGTCTGAAGGCTCTGCGTACTGGGGGTCTCATAGTGCTGAGGGCTCCAATTGCCGAAGGCTTGGTTTTCAAGCCTTATTCTCCCGTGATGTTGCCGACCCCTAATTCTGTCACTGGTAGCCTTCGGCCATTGGGCCGAAGGCACCCCTTCATGCATCGTGGGCTGCTTAGAGCTCCATCCTGCTGGGTTTGGCCCGCTTGGGCCTGTTGGGCCTGGTTGTGATAGTGGAAGTATGTGGGCCGGGGGTCCCTGGGCCATATACTCCATCACATGATTTTCTGTATCCATGTATTTACTCTCTACACTTTCTCTCGTTTTGTCATTTGTATTCTTTCATTTGTGGACTCTAATTAAACACACAATTCGTTTTTTCATTATTCTCATTGTTGTTTAGTGTTTTTGTTTCTAGTTACACTTTCACTATTATGTTACATGTATGCTGGTTGACACTATTGTCATCACATTTACTGTTAATGTCATCTTGTGTTTTTATGTTGTCAACTGCTTATGACTCGTTTGTTGTTAAATTCCTGCTTACATGTTATTTTTTCATTTTTTTAGATAATCATATCTTCATATGGATACAATTTTGCTGCTTATGGTCAAACTGGATGACATATTATTGTCTAATTGCACTTTTACACATAGGTATACATGTAAGTTCATTTTTTTTATTTAATGCCATTAAGTTGACTTTAAATGCCATATTTAAAAATTAACATTTTATTTTACTAACCTGGCCATTCTGTTCAAGTTGTACTCCCTGATTCTAGCCAACACTCTGCTAGTCACTCACCTAAATTAGGAATGTTCATTTTTTTGAACCATTCTGTGTATACATCTTTTGTATGCATTTCTATTTTGGGATATACCCTACACGTACATATTGCTATTTTTTACGAGCGATCTTTGTTCACTAGCATGAAAGAGAGATGTACAAAAGGTGTACATATAAAAACAATTTTCAGGGAGAAGAGTTCCGAATTGCCGTCTACGGCGGAGGGGTAGGATGAGCAGCTGAAGAAAGGGATATCTGAGTTCTATGACGAGTGTCGGAGATATGGGAAGACATATGGGGAGACCATTTGCACCACGGCTTCTACGACAAGCAGCCCGCCGGCGTCTCCCTCTCCGACCACCACGGCTTCTCAGATCCGCATGATCGCAGATGCCCTCCGATTTGCCTCTGTTTCCGCAATCCAAGTATTTGTGGGTGCCAAACTTGGTTGGATAGCACTGATGCAGTGGGAATTAGGCGGTTCATTCATAGAGTGAAGTTGCTGCAGCGGCACACACACATGGATTCCAAAATGTGGGGTTAGGAAAATTAAAAAACCCAAAATTTTTAAATGTATTATATATTTTTTATTTGTACTCCAACTTTTATAAAAACATATCAAAATTCATATTTTTTTATGATATTTCATACGACACCAATAAAAAAAATCTCATTTCTTTTTGGATCGGAGTATCTTCTCACAAAAAGGTTATTGGGTGAGGTGGGTGACATTATTTGGCAATCCATGTCTCCATTGGAGATGTCCTAATTTATTATTTCCATGTTTCTAACATTGATACAAGAGAGAGTGATGTGATTATTAAAAAAGTGATAATTATGAAACTTGATGTAGTATTGGAGTTCTCAAATGACATTGAGGTAAGAGTAGATATGGGTCGATTACTTTTTCAAAAAAAGGATGACACCCCATCTCTGAGGCCCCCCCAACACCGACCACACAGTTAGATGGTAGGATGTAAATTCGACTTTAATCACAAGCTGCTCGATTACTTTTAAAAGAATATATAATCTGGTCATTACTTTTGAAATACCTTGTGCATTGCACTTCTAAAACTTTTACACCTTGAACGAGACAAACATAACTAATAAGAGCTGCTCGATAAGACTTGAGGCAAGCGTAGATATGTTGTTTGGAAGCCAACAACAAAGGATTTTTTTCCTCGAAAAAGGGGTTTCGCTTTGGGTCGAGTGGTATATCTCCCTCCAGGATCAGGAGAATCCTATTACTTGCGATGTATCCTCAATTTAAAGCATGGTCCTACGCCTTTCTCCGATTTATGAACTGTTGACGGATTTTGTTATGAATCATATCGTGACACACGTTACACATTGGGTTTGTTGGATGATGATCGAGAGTATGTCGAAGGTTTTACGGAAAGTAGTTTTTGGGCTTCTGCATGGGGACTGAGAGTTCTATTTGTTATATTGTTACTAGCAGATACAATGAGTAGACCTGAATACGTTTGGGAGAAATGTTGGAATTTTATGTTTGATGACATTCTTGAGAGACAACGACAAGCTTTGCTACATCTAGGTTATAAAAAATTACAATTTATTTGTAACTAAATTATTGTTTATAATATGGTAAATACAACTGTTGTAGAATTAAATGTTTATTTTTTTATTGTAGAATTAATGTTGACGGAAGACGAAATCAAGAATTATGCAGTTCTTGGAATAGAGACAATGTTAAGAATTCGGGGAAGAACCCTAACCGACTATCCATCAATGTCATTCCCGAATTGCAGTAACACAACCATGTTTCAAAACAGACTTATTTATGATGAGTTGCAATATGATCATACCAAAATGCGCGAACAACATGAAAAATGCATGGAGAGTTTGAATGAGTAGCAAAATGAAGTGTACAACAAACATTATTATGGAATCCATTGAAGAGAACAAGGGTGGAATGTTCTTTGTATATGGGTACGGGTGGGGTACAGGCAAAACGTTTATTTGGAAAACATTGTCAGCAGCTTGAGGTCCATGGGTGAAATTGTGTTAAACGTGGCTTTAAGTGTGATTGCTTCATTATTATTACCTGGTGGAAGAACTGCTCATTCACGTTTTGCAATACCAATCAACCCAACCGGGCACTCGACATGCAACGTCAAACAGAGCAGTCCATTAGTCCAATTCATAATTAGGTTTAAACTTATTATTTGGGATGAGGCGTCGATGATGCATAAATATTGTTTTGAAGCCTTGGACAGACGTTTGTGTGACATTCTCAGGGTTGTTGATCCTCTAAATACTGATAAGTCATTTGGAGGGAAAGTCGAAAGCTATAGTTTTTGGAGGAGACTTCAGACAAATCTTACTGGTTATTACCAAAGGTACAAGACAAGACGTATATAGTTAATGCCACAGTTAGTTCTTCATACATATGGCAAGGTTGCATTGTTTTACGCTTAACGAAGAACATGAGATTACAATCGTTGAGTGACGATCGTGATTATGCTGACTTGGTTGAGTTTGCCGAGTGGCTCATAACTAGTAAGAGTAACTCCAATAGAGCTGTTGATATCTTTATGATCCATTCATCCATTGCAAGTACTAAAAACCATTTCCGATTAAATGTGAACAAAAATAGATGCTAATTAAGAAAAAATATAAATTTGAAAGAGATGAAGATAGAGTTTTAATTCAAATGTTTGAAAATGAAAAAATCTGTTTACACACAAAAATGTGTATACAAATAATTTGTACAAAGATTGTCTATGTATACGTATCATTTATATCAAATTGTTTGCGTACATAGACGAATGTACACAACACATGTTTTGTGCAAATAGAATGACGCTTTGAAAATATTATTATCTCCATCCTCCGTGATTTTTGCCAACTTCAAATTAGATGAGAAATAAGAAAATTTAAAACTTTATAACCACAGTTTATGAAGAGAAGAGAGAAATGAGCAGATACACAAATTATTTTGCTTTAATGAGAAAATGTCAAATTATTGGAATAACCAGAAAAGAAAAACTGAAGTTAAATGAGAAGTGCATAGTAAGATTTAGAATGTTTTACTTGGACTGAAATTTGTTGGTCTGGTCAGATTTGATCTGGTTTGATCTGAACTGGTCTGATAAACATGTGATCTCTATGTATTTTATAACTAGCAAAGTCTGATCTGATCTGAACCGGTCTGATCTGGTCTGAACCGGTCTGATCTGGTCTGAACCGGTCTGATATAAGAAAATTATTCTTACATACCTTGTGTGAGTCAATGAGAGTTGACCGACTTCGTAGTCCGTACACTCTTTTTATTTGGTTCAGCGCTCGCTTACATATCTGACAAAGACTTCGTTTGACGTGTCCTGTTTGTAAACCCCAACTCCGCAAAGCTAAATAAAACAAAAGAAGAAGCAGAAGAAGAATTCAAAGAAAAGCAACCCAAATTCAGGGAAAAGCTTCCTGGATCAAGTCTAGAACTGGCATACTGCTGGGTACATGCCAATCTGATTCCAAATACGATCATACCTAAAGGGATTTGGCTATTCCCCCATCCAATAACCTAGGTACTAACTAACTCCATATGCTAAATCTGTTCGTTTGTTCCTTTCAAATATTGGAAAAGAATCAGAAGATCGAGCTAAGGCTACTGGGGTAGAGCTGAATATGTTATTATTCTCTTCATTTCGTTTTGATTGGTGAGAAGATGGAGAAGATTCGGTGTCTATTTCGTTCATTTTTTTGATATTTTTCTTTTTGAAACTGGCGAGAAGGCTGAACGGAAGGAAGGATGGGAGCAGTGTGCGCAGGAGGGACAGTGAGGGATAAGTTGGAGGTCCACCAAGAGAGAAGCTCAGGGGGGTCTAAGAAGCTCAAATCTATGAAGAGTTTCCTGAAAGAGGATAACAATGGCGGCTCTAGTGAATATTTAAACACGGGGAAGACCCATAATAGTACTAGTAGTAGTATTAATAATCTTTATGATTCTGGTGAATTCCCCTTGTCTATCTCTAGAGAGTTAAAGACCTCAACTCCTGCCAGGATAAGAACTACTACCAAGGTATATACACATTTTAGATATGTGATCTTTATATCTTGTTTGTGGGTGCGTATTCTCATTAGCACATAATAAAAGATTCTTCAATGCAACCGGTCTTTCATGAGTTGCTAATCTTGTGAATCAAAGTATTTTCAATTTCATTCCCTGCACCATCACATCCAACTCAATTCCCACTGATTAAAATTAACCAACCATTTCCCAAGTCTAAACGTCTGTAAATATGGAGTAGAATTTTTCTAAAAACAAGTAAAAGGCAAATTGAGATGCTATACCATCACCTATAGTGTTGACATTCATCTTTTACACATAAGAAATCTCAAATATTAAAAATATATATGAAGATATTAAGCACTTCAAAGCCTTCCTCTCCAAAGCACAAAGTTATCCATCCAAACAGTTCCTTAGAGAATTTTGGTGGTGTATATAAACAGAAACAAAAAAATAATACGTAGTATCAAATAACACTGGAAATATGGAGCAGTGAACAATTTTGTTCCCTTTTCTGCATATGAGCAATCTAATCTTCTTCTGACAGGCACCTCAGATTAGTTCTTTCCTTGGAAAGGCTGGTATAGTTGGCCTGGAAAAGGCAGTGGAGGTTTTAGACGCATTAGGTAGTAGCATGACAAATCTGAACAGCGGATTTCTTACCGGGGCGGGATCAAGATGGAACATGATATCTATACTGGCGTTTGAAGTTGCCAACACAATCACTAAAGGCGCAAATTTATTGCAATCATTATCGGAGGAAAGTGTCCAGTATTTGAAAGAGGAAATTCTACACTCAAAAGGCGTTCAAGAGTTGGTATCTACAGAACTGAATGAGCTTCTTGCTATAGCTGCTGCTGACAAAAGGTGTGCATTTTGTTAAATATCCCAAATGCCCGCACATTTTCTCCCAATGAGATACAAGCAAAGAAATCTTATAATTATGTTCGGACCCTTCGAGTCTGTTTGTAACACAAAAAATACTAGAGAAATACAACATGGAAGAAATCAGATAGGATAATTGGAAGAAAAGAAAATTTAGGAGGCAACTAAAGACATGATCAAACTTCTAACTCAGTATATTCAATTAACACTTTTTCATACTTTATTTTATTCAAAGACTATTTATATGTAAAAATGTTGAAGCAACTAACCATTTTTATTGTCCTTTGCACCCCCACACATTTTCCTGACATTTTATGAGATTCATACATACCCATAGGTTTTGAAAATTTTAAGTGGGCTTGGGCTTTACCAGCATTTTAGTCTCCATATTTTGGTTAAAAACCTTCTGCTTTTGGCTTTCAAGGTCCTGACTCCTGAGCAGTTGAGCACTAGCAAATTGTAACATTTCTACATTCATTATAGGGAGGAGTTCGAAGTTTTTTCCCGTGAAGTGGTGAGGTTTGGAAATCTATGTAAAGACCCTCAGTGGCACAACCTTGATCGGTATTTTTCAAAGTAAGTCAGATCTTTTTATATATTTATAAATATAAAATACCCCCGATATTTTTCATTTATCAAGTACTGTAAATGTTGATTTTTCCTTGACCAGGTTAGGCTCTGAATCTGTAATGACTGCAAGTCATAAACAACTTAAAGAGGAGGTTGACATGAGTATGCAAGAACTATACACTCTTGCTCAACATACTTCGGTAAGATTCTTTTTTAGCTGCATTGCAGACTTCTATAAAAGCGCATTTAAGTTATAAGGTAATGCATTGTTTGTCTGATGCATATGCATATTCTCTTATAGTCTTATGTTTGTGTTTGCTTGTATTAACGATATAGTTGACGAGCATCTGGTTTATGGATAGCTAACTGGCTAGTGACTATCATCCTTTGCTACAGATTTAAACAAATGCCTCAAAACTTTCTTTGTTTTCATACTTGCAAACTACAATAATGTGAAACAAAATATTTTTTATATGCAGGAACTTTATCATGAGTTGCATGCTGTGGACCGGTTTGAACAAGATTATCAAAGGAAAATTGAGGAATTAGAATCTTTAAATCTGCCTCGTAAAGGTTCATTGCAAAGCACAGTTGACTTAAGTTCCTTTTGTTAATGACTACTATACGGTATGACCATATGTACTTTTCCTTGTTGTAGGAGAGGATCTAATGATGTTGCACAGCGAGCTTAAACATCAAAGAAAAATTGTGCGAGTATTGAAAAAGAAATCCCTATGGTCTAAAAGTTTGGAAGAGGTAATCCAACAAAAGACTTTTCATGAAATGTATCCAAGTGTGTGCGCCTGACTCAAATAAACTTGTTTTCCAGTCTTCAAAATCTATATTGTACCTTTTCCTTGTTTGTCATAGGAGATAGGTGACAGCAGAAAATATTGAGCCACACATAAACTACTACGGAGTATTATATAAAATTATGCAATTGTCCATTTATTGATTCTATATTTACTCATTGTAGGTTGTAGAAAAGCTTGTTGATATCGTAGCTTTCATTCATCAAGAGATCTTAGAAGCATTTGGAGATGATGGTATACTAGTGCAATCACTGTTCTTTTTCCATAGAGCTTCTTAAGTTTTCAGAAAATCATCTACTTTAGCTAGATACTATGATTGATCTCCTTCTCGAGTAGCTTCCAGTTCCTATAAAACTTTTTGTTGTACTGTATTATACAGTAATATACTAATATATTATAGCCTTTGTTTAGATGGTGGAAAATATGAGGGGGGAAAGAGGAAAGAAAGAAAATGTGATGGGGAAGGGGGATAGGAAGTAGGCTAACAAAGATATTTTCCAATTTTCTTTTCTGTTTTCCGTTCTCCAATTTTTTATTTTGATTTTCCAGTTTTTCGATCTCCAATTTTCTGTTTTCATTTTCTGGTTTTCCATTTTCCAATCTGAAAACATATTCACCAAATTTTTTCACCCGGTTTTGGGACTGGCCGGAAGACCAAAAGTATGTTCCCGATCTAGAACCGGACCTTGTACAACCCAAATAGGGTACCCTGTCACGGGTATAGGAAAGGTTGGACCAAAACCGGTCGGTCCCGGTCAGTCCCAACGGCTAGTTTGACTAACTCTTTTCTTTTTTCCCTATTGGTTGGCAACCTAACGGTTCATTTGAAACACTTCACTTTGAAAAAATGATTTTAAAAAACTGGAACCGGACTGGGATAGGGACCGCCAAGTCATCAACCGGACTGGGCAGGGACCGCCGGGTTGTCGACCGGACCGGACCGGGACTGCCTGGTCATCGACCGGACCAGAATTGAGACCGGAGCAGGACTGGACCGGAGTGAGACTGGGTCCACCGCTAGGCGTAAGTAGCACTGCAGTGCCCGCTCATTTCAAATTTGGAAACACTAGTAAAACTCACTTCTCCAATTCAATAAGGAAAACAGAGACATGTCTCATTTTTGTGGTTTTGGAAAATGATTTGGTAAACGTATTTTCCTGTTTTCCTTTGTCCAGTTTTCCACCAAGTTTTTGCAGTACGCATTTTCCTGTTTTAATATTACTGTTAGTAAACAGCCCCTTCATATTTCTTGATAGTCAATGGTCTCTTTATATTTCTCTAATATATATAGACTAAGATATCTAAGCATTTGTAAAAAAATAATTATATTTATTTGCTTACCATTTCCCAAGGCAAAACCAAACATAAGAGAAAAACTTTCCGTAGCACTTTTCTTCTTTTCCATATCATTTTTTCCAAACCCAAAGATACCCTAAAAGCTATTCTGATGATCTGTTGATCCTATTTATTTTACAAGTACTGAAGCATGTGGAGAAAGAGCCTCTGTTAAAACCAGAAAGGTTAGGTCTTGCTGGTCTTGCTTTGCACTATGCTAACCTAATCACTCAAATAGATAACATTGTAAGTACACAAAAGTTAAATTATGCTAAATTGGTCCTCCAGAGTACTATTTGTGTATACATTAATGAAATTCAATGTAATTTTAGGCTTCACGCCCCACCTCTCTTCCACCGAACACAAGGGATACACTGTACAGTGGTTTGCCACCTGTTGTAAAGACAGAGCTTCGCTCCCGTTTACAGGCACTTGATACCAAGGAGGAAGAGGTATGTTATTTGGGGGCCATTTGGTAAGGTTATTTGACTGGAAATAGTGATGTCACAGGATACTTCTGCTTATAAGTAGAATAAGCCCATTGTTCGGTGAATGCTACCAAACGGCATCTTAGACTTGGTTATTTACATCTTCCCGTTTTTGTCTCTTCGTTTCTTCTGCCTTCCCCCACTGACTTGTTCTGTGATGGAGTTTTCAGCTAACAGTTCATCAAATCAAGGCTGAAATGGAGAAGACTCTCCAGTGGCTTGTTCCACTAGCAGCTGATACATCAAAGTATGTGGAAAAATCACTACTTATTGGCTTGTCCAATTTATCTGTCCACTTTTTGAAGTTCTGTGTGGTTCATTTTTACCTGTCCATTTAGTAAGATTATGCAAAACATTAATCACTTTTCCTCGAATCCTCAGTTTTACCACGAGGAGAAATAAACGGATTGCGTTGGAAAACATAAAAGGAGAATTGAAAATACTTATTTTAAATTTTAAACATTCAAATGTACAAATGATTACTCAGTATTTAAAATTTCCCTCTGTTTCATTATCTTTGTCTCATCTTTCCTTTTTCGTTCATCCAATACCATATTTGGTAGTATTTTTTTGTGGTTCTACTTCATTTTTACTTTATTGATACTACGTAGTATATCAATTCAACACCAACCATATAGTTGTACCTTAATAAGTGCACCATCATGTCCAAACATAGTGGTACAGACTACAGAGGGAATATAATATTTTATTTTGATGGATTTGTAAATAAGGGCAGTTTTATGGAATTAGATAAGTTGCTATTGATTTCTTTTTTTTTGAATTCATCTTATTATGTGGGCTTTAGATAAAGTGAATAGTGGATAAATAAGGATGGTGTACTTCTCCTTTATACTTACCATACAATAAATTATTCTGGTTATTGATTCTATCAATCCTTTTACCCGGTTGCTGGTGCAGGGCGCATCAAGGTTTTGGATGGGTTGGAGAGTGGGCAAACACCGGGTCTGAGATTTTCTTTGTTCTTACATTTTCCCTTTTTAACCATTTCCTTAGATAGTCAAAGCTTAAAGTTTTGTTATTCTATTCTATAATGCAGCAGCGAGTTTGGGAAGAGGTCAACGATGCAGAATAATTTGATCCGCCTACAGACACTTTATCACGCAGACAAAAACAAAATGGACGCTTTCATCCTTGAGATTGTAACATGGCTTCACCGCCTTATCGGGCTGGTAAGGTATAAAGGCCCGAGGATTCTTCCGGGAAGACCACCAACTAGCAAAAGGCCTCTTGCTTTGCACGCAGAAGAAATCTTGAACAATGTCCAGAAAAGGAACAATGGTCAGCTTTCTGTAGAAGACAAAACGTTGTTGGAAGAAGCCATGAAAAGAAGAATTGTTCCTGGCATAAGCAAAAGTCAAGAGTTCGGCATATCCAATAAGGGAAGACAGGTTTGGGCGCTTAGTAGGAGCACAGGCAGCTCTCCATGTACAGTGGCAGAACGTCCCACAGCTAATTTCTTGGACATACTGGACGGTTTAGGCTCAAAGTTTTGAACCCTTAGAGAGGTAGTTGTATTTGATAAAATGTTCTTTTTAAGCATTCGTTCACTGTCTTATTGGAATTTGAGTCCCTTGTGTATATAGCTCTGATATATGTTGAAAGTGTATGGGTATCTTGTGATCCTTCTATTTTTTATGCATGATTTGGGTTGGAAACCTTGAGTTTCAATCAATCCTTAGACAAATAAAATGTGGGGTAGTTTGTTCATTAGTAGACAACTAGGCATATCAAGTGGTTTAACCTAGGGATGGATTCGGGCCGGGTCGGGCCCGGGCCGGGCCTAGGCCCGGTCGGGCCGCTGGTTCGTATCACATGGGCCCGGGACCGGCCCGAGGGTTGGTCGGGTCCGGTTCGGGCCGGGCCACCCGCCCGGGTCACGGGGCCACCCGCCGGGCCGGGCCGGGCCGGTTAAATATTTTTTTTAATTTATATTTTATACTTTATAGTTTTATACAAGTATTAAAAAACAAACTTCAAGTGCATTTATTTCAAATGAAATAGGAACTACATTTGAAAATTAAATAGGAACTATAATTGTTTTTAATCGGAATCTCCGGCATAGGGATGGATTCGGTTCGGGCCACTCGGCCCGTGACCCGGCCCGGCCCGGTACTGTGAGGGCCCGGGACCGGCCCGGTCGGGCGGTCCGGGACCGGGTCTGGGCCCGAACCGGGGGGAAGGGGTGGGGCGGGCTCGGTTCATCATTTTTGTGACCCGGCCTGGCCGGGTCGGGCCCGGGCCCGGGTCCGGGTTTATTTAAAAAAAAAAAAACTTTTTTTTTTGATTTTTGGCTACTAGCCGTTGAGGCCTTGGGGGTGGGGCTGGGGACAACCCAAACGGCTATATAGCCGTTGGGTGGGGTAAAGGGGGGGTCCGGGGGGGGTTGGCTTGTAGGGGGTGGGGGGTAAAAAAACCTATAAATTCTCCTACTCTTAAACATTTTTTCATATCTCTTCTCCAATTCTTCCTAAATCCTATTCTTAACTCTCTACTCTCTAATTCTCTTATTCTCCAATATATTACTTCCTCCGTTCTCTTTTAATTGCAACAGTCAACATTTCACGTTTGCCAACGCATAAGTTTGACCATCAATATCTTTCATTCTTTATTAGTAAAAAATTTAAAAAATTCATATTTTGAAAATTTAGAATGAGAAGAATTTAACAATATTTTTTAAAAATTTAATTTATAATACATTAATTAATAAAATATAGTCAAAGTAGAATATGTGAATAGTGCAAAAAGTCCAATGTTGCAATTAAAAGAGAATGGAGGTAGTATATATCTACTCTCTAATTCTCTTCTCCAAGAAGTTAAGATGGAAAATCAAAATGCCATTATACGGTATAATTTTGATAAGCAGAAGGACTCGAAGACCGGGATGTGGTACGCAATTTGTAAATGGTGCGAAAAAAAATGTATTATGGGGGCTTCAGGCGGATTCGGGATGGCAATCAAGCATATGAAGTCATGTGACAAAGCCAAAGGATCGAGAGGTGCGGGAAGTTCCGATTGATTACAATTTTCAAAATGTTTATCTCTTAAAGTTTGTTTTAGTTTTCAAATGTAGTTCCTATTTCATTTCAAATAAATGCAATTGAAGTTTGTTTTTAATACTCGTATAAAACTATAAACTATAAAATATAAAATATAAATTATAAAAAAAAAAATTAACCGGCCCGGCCCGAACCGGACCCGACCCGTGACCCGGGCGGGTGGCCCGGCCCGAACCGGACCCGTCCAACACTCGGGCCGGTCCCGGGCCCACTGTTCTTGAACCGGCGGCCCGACCAGGCCTAGGCCCGGCCCGGGCCCGACCCGGCCCGAATCCATCCCTACTCCGGCATAGGTAGAGCCACCCTCTGTTGTAGATTCATCCATAAAGTGTTGGGATGAAGTGATGTCAATTTCTTGAGCTCTACATCAAATGTAGCAAATTAACTAGTAATTAAACAAGTGTAAATAATAGAATAATTTCGTACCTCTTTCGGACTTTCGGTCTTTCGGATGGGAGTAATAGAATGACTTCAAATTAATTAGATATAATTCCAACTATATTAATAGATATAATAAATATATAAGTAATATATAATTAGATAACAAATATAAGTAATATAATACTATTTATATCTATTTATAGTTTATTGATAGAGTATATCTCCTGAATTCTAGAGAGAAGCGAGAGCTAGAGAGAGAAGTGCAATATATGCTTCAATAGAATGATTTTGTAACCCCTATAACTACTCCCAAGGGGAGTATTTATAGAGAAAAATTAGGGTTGGGCTCCCAAGCCTTGGGCTTGGGAGACCCATTTACAACTGGACCGCTACTGGGCCGAATACAAAACCTCTAATGGGCTGTACAAATGAGTAAGTATAGGATCCGATTCTGGGAGGTCTTCGTGGCCGACGAGGGCGTGGCCGACGAGGGCACGGCCGACGAGGGCGCGGCCGACGAGGGCACGGCCGACGAGGGCGCGGCCGATGAGGGCACCCGAGTCCCTCAGGCTCAGGACCGTAATCTGAGTTGACACCTTTTCGGACGACGGGGGCGTCATGGCCGACGAGGGCGCCACTCTGTTGTCTTGTGCTCTGTTCTTCCGGGTATGTGGGTCCTGGGGCTCAGACCCATATATTCCATCAGGAGTCCCCCACTCTCTAAGCTGAGACGTAGACGAAGTGAAAGAGAGTAGATTTCTGTGCTGTTGCTTTTGGCCGACGCGGGCGTTTCCAGGCCGTTTAGCCGTTGCGGCGTTGGCGTTGTTTTCTCTTTGGTGATCTTGTTCTGTGCCTTGGCCGTTACCTGTTCCTCGCTGTGGCGGGGAGGCCGTTGTTTCCTTAATTTGTTTTGGGACGATGAGTGTCCTTCTTTCAATGGTGGACGTTGAAGGCGCGCTTTCCCTTTCCTGGACGTTGGTGGTTGAAGTTTGTTTGGGCCGGTGAAGCCGTTTGGTTTGTTCCTTGCTTTGAGGGCGATGGCATCATTTTCTTTGTGTGGCCGATGAGGGTGCTCGTACGCTCCTTTTGGCCGTTGCTGGTTGGCCTTCGTGTTCTTGGCCGAAGGGCCCGTCAAGATTAGTTGTTTGGCGAAGGACGATGAGTGTTTTTTTTTTCCTCTAGTGGCTTGTTGGCCGTTGCTAATGACGTTTTGGGCCTTTGGCCGATGAGGTTCCGTTGAGTTGTGTGGATGATGTGGCCATGTTTTGTGGTTACCTTGTTTATACCTTTGTTTCGTTGAGGCCGGTGTAGTCCCCCAGTCCCCCACTGCTTCAGGCCGAAGAGTGTGAGGGGTGAAGGAGTTGCCTGAGTCCCTGGCCGAAGCGGTCTCGCCGTAGTCCCCCTGAATCCAACTCTCATGGCGATTTTCTGGCCAAGGTAACCCTGTGGGAGAACCCTTGTGCGCAGATCGCTTGTAGAGAGTTATCGTCAAGGGTTATTACGAGGAGCCGAAGGCTGTGGGCTATTTGTTCCCTTTGTTCTGTGGCCGTCACGTACCTGGCCGTTGCCATCCTCTTATTGTTTGGCATTTGTGATATTGGTGAGCAAGTGGGACGTTGTGGGCGCTTGCTGGCAGTTGTAAAGCCGCTGAGTGTGTGTAGGCCGTAGAGTCTGATTTGCCGGTGGGCCGTTGATATGGGTTGGTCCTGGCCCGTTGGTGACGTGGTGGCCCCCCAGTGGTGGCCGTTGATGTGGCCATTGGGTGAGTGCCACGTGTAGTGACCGTTGGTGGGGGGGTCTATAAATACCCCTTCCCCTCCGACGAAGAATCACATTTGCATTCTGAATTTGTCGAAGTGCTGGCCGATTTTCTAGAGAGAGAAACTCCCAAGCCTGTTCTTCGTTGTTTGAGGTTAGTGTTTATCACGATCTTCCTCACTTTTCATATTTTGCTCCGTAAGTAGTTGATCTAGTGTTAGGCGTTTAAACACCTTTAGATCGTAAGTTGTTCTCCTTTAGCCCGTAGTAGCGGTAATGAAGAGCTTGAACGAGGACTACTACCCCTACGACGACCAGCCCTCCACGAGGTCCCTTGACTACGAGGTGCTCGAGGAGTTTGAAGAGGAGATAGAGCGTTTGAGCCCCTACAAATCCGGAGAGCTGATGGACGAGGAAGGCGAGGATGAGGAGTCCGCCTCCTCTTCAGAGGGTGAGGACGTAGGTGCGTCCCGAGCGGTGGACGGGGCGTCCACTTCTGCTGCCGTTCCGTGCCCGAGGCCGGTATCTGCCGTGAAGGGCGACGCTAAGCCGAAGAGGGTGAGGAGGCCGAAGAATGGGCCGGGCCTCTCCTATTTGGACCTCACCAACATATTCCTGATTAAGCCGGAGAGCAGTGAGGCCGACTATCTTGTCGCCCAGATGTACGTGGGGCCGTTCGGGCGGGTTAGGGCACCCAGGCCGACGGACCATGTTCTACTTCCGCCACCGGGATACTTCGGAGTATACCCGATGAGTTTTGCTAAGGGGTTGAGGTTCCCCCTTCACCCTTTCGTCACTGAGTATCTGGACATGGTGGGGCTTCCTCCGGCCTTGCTGACGCCGAACATTTATTCCTTGATAGTGGGCTTCTTGCTTCGTTGTGAGGAGTTGGGCTACAGGCCGACCACGGCGTTATTCATGAACTTGTACCAGATCGGCCGAGGAAGCCACAAGAACTGCGCGGCCTATGCTACTCTTCAACAACTGCCGAGGAAGAGGAGCTTCACGGATTTGCCTACGTCCATTCATGGGTGGAAGAGCAAGTTCGTGTTTGTGTCCATTGGTGAGAGTGGCACCGAGTTCCCCTCCCTCGGTCATACCGGGAGGTTCAACCTTCATGACCCGCCGAAGAGCTCTATTTTGGACGCTCAGGTGGAGGCTTTCCTGGAAGGGGGGCCGAGGAGCGTGAAAGATTACGTCACTGAATACAAGATGACGGCCCTCGGCTTCTTCAGATATCACTTGTATGGAGATAAGGAGGATGACCTCCAACTCTGGCCGAGGATGACCACCACCTTTGAGGAGGCCGATGGCCCGCCTTTGGGCATTCCTGCTGAGGCCGATGGTAATTTTTCTTCGGCTTTCTGTCTTTACGTTTTGTCCTTTTCCTTACTAATCTGTTTGTGCTTTTCCCTTGTAGATTTTGTCATGGACCGCCGTTCCATGATGGCTATTGCAAAGGCCAAAGCGGCC